CATCCAAAGTCCAATTTGCCTTTTTTCTCCGTTTTGTTACAATTTGTAAATTCATATTAAAAAAAATAAAATTATACCAATTACTAATAAATCATAAACATTAAATTTTAAAGTAATAGTATAAAGTAAATATATAAATATAAATATTGAATATACAAATTATAAAACATAAATATTCAACTTATAATTATAAAATTCATAACTTAATAACTTATAACTTATAAGTTATAAACTTATAAGTTACCTTATAAAACTTATAATTATAATTTTATAACTTATATACATTATAAACTTATTAATTTATAATGTTGTCATAAAAAAAAAAAAAAAAAAAAATTGAAAACTGCACCAGCCCGCAGGCCGGCACGTGGCCGGCACGGCACGAGCCCGCCAGGCACGAGGGCCGTGCCGTGCCGTGGGCTGGCCTGTGAAAATGGCCGGCACGACACGGCACGAAATCCTAGGCCCGCCGGCACGACCGGCACGGCACGAACCAGCCCGTGGCCCGCCAGGCACGGCCCGCGGCGGCCCGGCACGGCACGGTGCCCAGGATTACAAGGACTCTAAGAAAGGGCAGAATTGTAATTGTCTTTTTTATTAAAGAGAAAAAGCTAAGTGGTGGACCCTTTGTTCCGATTTTTGTCTCTTGAGAGCAAATTGTCGAAATTAAAATTGAAGAGAAAGAGAAAAGTGATGGATTCCTCCTCCTGAATATTGTCGGTTGGAGTATCAATTCATTTATGTCAGAAAAAGTACACCTGCACCTTGCATTGATAAATGTTTTTATAGTTCGGGCAGTACTTTTCATTGGTATGTCTTATCTACCATGCAAGTTAGAATACATACCAACAGCGACATGATACCATACCAATTAGATAGGTTTTGATACCATACCACCAGGGATACATAATTAGTGTAAACCATTACAATAATTCTTATAAAAATCAAGATAGCATCAAAAGTGTTATACAATAACATAATAAGTCTTGCATAATAATATAATAAGTCTTACATAATAAGTCTTAAACAATAACATAATCAAGAGAGCATAAAAAGTCTTACACAATAATTCCGGAAGCATAAAATTTGATTAACTATTACAGTCCATTACAAGTAGTCGATGCCAAAGGGTGGATAATCAAAGGTTTCCATTCTCCAAATATTCCAAGATATGCGCAGCGTGACTGCATAAAATACACGAAGGTTTAACATTAGATGATCGATACTAATTGAATGAACCGTTTAAGTAAACCCATACCAACGTACATGTTAATCTGTTTATTGGTATTATTAATAGAGATAGATATACCAACAGTAAATAAACCCATACCAATTGAATGAACCGTTTAAATAAACCCATACTAGCGTACACGTTAATCTGTTTATTGGTATTATTAACAGAGATAGATATACCAACAGTAAGTAAACCCATACCAATGTAAATATTAATAAATATAGTTGTATTATTAACAGAGATAGTTATACTAACAGATATAGTTGCAAAACAGTAAGTAATACCAACAAGTGAACCTAAATTGTATGAATGGTAGTTGATGTAATACCTGGGTAACAAAAAAAATGAGCTGGATATTAGGTCCCTAATATCTCATTAATTTATAAAACTCGTAATAATGAATTAGAAGGAATTCAATGGGAAACCAAATTATTTTGCTGATTTTTATTGTTTGCAAAAAATAAAAAATTTTGAGAATTAAAAATTTTGTGAATTGGGGGGAAGAATGAGAAAATTCCCGCTATCAATAATTTTGGCGGAAATAACAATACATTTGGGACAAATTATGACTTACAGAACCTACAATAGTGTCTTCCTTTTTGTTTTTAACATTTCCTTTTTTTAAAAGCTTTTTAATTGATAAAAAGACAAAAGTGGGGCCCACACTTCCGTAAAGTCCTCTTGGACCAAAGTTCCTAGAGCCTGAGAATTACAGAGGATAGTACAATTTTGGACATTATTGAAGTACTTCATTCAGAGATTTAATTTTTAATTACTGTATTAAGAATAATAAGAGAGACTTCAAATTTTAACTTGATAAATTTAAAAAGTAAATTATTTTATGTTAAGTCGGATACTCATACTACGTAAAAATGTATTGTAGAACACTTCATAATAATTTAATAACCCGCCTCCTTAGCCATGCATGTTTTTGTTTTAGAATGTCCGAAAATAAATAATCACTCTCCGGATCATAGGATTATCGAATTACTTATTAAATTGTAGATTTATATATATTTCTCTATTTTTATTGAAATTTGATGTGAGATATCATAATAACAGTTGTTTGGTAGTATTAAAAATTGTTTAAATTATTATGGAAAACAAGTGAACGAGAAGACGTATAGAGTAATATGTAATCTCTTTAAATTAAGATAGTGATTTATTTTTGAAAATATAGTAAATAACATTAGCTTATATGAAGTGGTCTGTACTAAAGTGGACACGAGGAATTATCATTTTAAGATGAAAGGAGTAGATTATTTTCGGATTGAAAATTATAGTCGGCAATCTTGGCATTAGATTTTTTTCCCCCTTTACTCTCATGCATAATGATATTTTACCTATGAAAATGATTTTGCATGTAATCAAAATGAATTAGACATATTCTATTTGGAGACTCCGAAATTGCCGAGAAACATCCCTAGATGGGAAAAAACATACAATACATATTTTATCAATTTCTTGTCTTTAATGATGTTACGTCCAAAGCCAAATATTGTTCATTATTATAGATTTGTTTATGAACTTTTGTGAATATATGTATGTGATCTGTGATCAATCCAACGTTATTGACCACAAAAATAAAACCATTTATTTTTGAGAGTAGTTCAACTTCTAGCTATAATTGTAATAGAATAGACCTCAAATTGGAAGTGATTATAACATAAGGAAAGAATCTAGCTTATCTTAACATTTTCCCAATAATTATGAAATTAATGCAAAATATCAGGACTATATGCGTGACAGTAATATATACTAGAACAAACTTCTTACTGTTTGGCCGGTGAAGTGATTATTGTATACTAGTCTTCAGACCCATGTAATGCACATGTTGTTTATAGGTATACAATATACTCCCTCTGATTTTTTTTAATTGCAACATTTGTTATTTTAGTCTGATTTTAATTAAATGCAACTTTATATTTTATTTCTATTTTGGGTAAATAAAAACCCTTAAAATTACTACTTTACCCACAACTTTACCAAGAGGTGGGCCAAACTTTCTCTCTCTACACACTACTTTAAACTATTTTACCCACTACTTTACCACTACTTTACCAAGTGGTGGGCCAAACTTTCTCTCTCTACACACTTTAATCAATTTCAATTAACCCCACTTTCACATACCCCTTAACTTTTGCATCGTGAACCGCGTAAGGCCCCAAAGTTGCATTTAAAAAAAATCGGAGGGAGTATATATATTTTATTTATTTATTTATTTATTTTGTTTTTTTTATAATATGGTTTTATTGGAAAATGAATAGTTTTCAAAGGAGAAGAAAGGGTAAAAATTATATGTAGTTGTAGAAGATATTAAGTTGGGGGAAAGTGAACCAAACAACATTCATGCATGTATTGAATTAAAGCTAGTGTTTTCTTTTTTAATATGAGAAAGGGGATTTTTTTAAAAAAAAAGGTTAAATGAATTGACACGTGACATTGGTAAAAAATAAAGTTTACATGTGTCAAGATGGACATAATAATTTGTATTTTTAAATACTACTCGTACTCGGTAAGTATAGATTTGTATGGATTACTATAATATCAATAAGGAAATCCAGTAAAATACTTCGTAATATATATCGATAGGAAAATTTCAGCTTTGATGCCGCGCGTGAAAGTTTGACATTATAAGAAAATGAATTATATATGGTCATCGCAATCTCGACGACATGTATTGTTGCTTTAGTCACTAATTTAATTGCGACCTTGGTAATGTTGTTGCTCATAGATTAGCAAAGTTGAGTTTCAATTTCAATGAGTATCGAGTATGGCTCGAAGAGTACCTTCTTGAGATTCAGGGGGCTTTATGTAATGATGTTAAACTCTTGATGATTTAATAAGATGGGCTAAGCTGCTGTTTTCGTCAAAAAAATAATTGCGACCTTTATTTACAAACCCTTTAATTTCCATTACAAAGTATTTTTTACTATTGCATCTACACTTTGTAAATTCGTAATACACGTACTTTGTATTGCTTTATTAATTTATATCTTTGACCACAATTTATAACATTCACATTAATATTGTATTTTCCCGTCTTTTTTTTTTTTTTTTTTTTCCTACCTGGACATTTTTATCTCTTATAAGGATTGCAAATAAGAATAACACAAAGAGACATGGAGTAATAAATTATGAAACACATTTCATTTAATAGAACTTCTGTATTGCATATGAAATATTTACTATGTAACATTATAGAAATTGTACTAATAAACAAATCAAAGTACTTGTACGAAACATTTTACATTACCCCAATAACAAAAGTAATTCGTATTGCTTACTTTAAAAAAAAGTAATGATATACCCACAATACATTTCCACTACTATCATTAATTTATAAATTCATGAAAAATCACACGCTAATTAGTATGATTAATGTTTTATTCAACCTAATTTCTCTTTCTAGCATCTATTTATAATCTTAAGAATTTATATATTGTCCCTTAAAATTTTTACATATTTATTTACTTTTTTAATCATTATTATTTATTTTTTTTGAAGAAATTATATATTTGTTTTTGATGCAATATTATTATTATATATGTAGGCATAAAACATAGGTACATGAGAGCAATATAAAATGGAAACATCAGTACTCATGTTGTGGACTATCAAGAGTATCTACTGTACAACAAACATTATTTGATTATTTCCAAATATTAATACGCAAAACACAAAAACATTCCTTCCAAAAAAAAAAATAAAAAAACTCTTCCATCTTCTTTCTCTCTCCTCCTCCTCCTCAAACCCCCCAACAATAATGGTGGCTTCCACTGCAACTTCCACTCCCTCCACTCTCGACCGCGAGAAAACTCTCCAAAACGAACTCGCTCTTCCCATCCTTCTCACCGACCGCCTCATCAAATCCGCCGATGAAGCCAAGTCTTCTCGCTCCGACTACGTCGAACTCGCCCGTCAAGCCGACGAACTCTCCCAGAAACTCCGTGCTGCCGTCCGATTATCCTCCTCTCCGTCGTCTTCTTCCTCTATTTACGACCGCCCTATCCGTCGCATCGCCGCTGATGTTACCAAGAATCTAGAAAGAGCGTTAACCCTAGTTCGGAAATGCAAGCATACTGGTCTTCTTCGCCATGTTTTCTTGACTATTACTTCTTCTGCTGCTGATTTCAAGAAGGTTTCGAATCTTCTACAGTCTTCTATTGCGGATTTTGGGTGGTTGTTATCGATTTACAGTGATGATGAAGGTGGTGCGAATCTTGCGATTCCTCCGATTGTGAGTAATGATCCGATTTTTGCTTGGGTTTGGTCTTATATTGCGTCGTTGCAGGTTAATCGCCAGGTGAAGGATCGAATTGAATCGGCGAATCATTTGGCTTCGTTAGCAGGGGATAATCAGAGGTATAGGAAGTTGATTGTGGAGGAAGGAGCAGTTTGGCCACTGTTGAGACTATTGAAGGATGGTGGAGGTTCTCCGGATGGTCAAATTGCTGCCGCAACGGCGTTGTATATGTTGGTAGATGAGGTAGAGAGGACTAGGATTGTTGCTGCTGAAGGTGGGATACCGATAATGGTGCAGGTGTTTGCGGAATCGTGTATGAATGTGCAGATAGCAGTGGCGGAATTGGTGGCGAAAGTGGCGGAAATCGATTCGATTGCGAGGGAGGAGTTTGGGAAGGAGAATTTGCTGAAGCAGTTGATTTCTTGCTTGATTATGGAGGTGGATATGGAGGAATACAGGCAGTATCATAGCGGTGGAGGTAAGAATAGTATTCATTCTATTGTTCAAAAGGAATTAGCTGCTAAGAATTATCCTAATTATAATAATCGTTTTCATAGTCATGGCAATGGTAGTAATACTTATAGTTATACTAAGGTGCATTCGTGTTCGTCGTTTGATTCGAGGGTTGGGGGGAGTAGTTATAATAGGAAGGAGAAAGAGAATGAGTCGCCTGAGGTTAAGCTTAAGCTTAAGGTTATGTGTGCTTTGGCATTGTGGAGATTGTGTGAAGGTAGTGTCTTGAATAGTCAGAAGGTTGCTGAGCCTAAAGGGTTGTTTTGCTTGTCGAAAATTATTGAGACCGAGAAAGGGGAGTTGCAATACCATTGTTTGATGACAATTATGGAGGTTGCGAAAGTGGCTGAGGATAATGCCGACCTTAGGAAAGTGTCTTGGAAGCCGAGTTCTCCACCTGCTAAAGCAGTTTTGGAGCAGCTTCTTAGAGTGATTAAGGAGGAGAGTATCCCTGATATTCAAATTGCTGCTATCAGAGCAATCGGGTGTTTGGCGAGGATATTTTCTGCTAAGGAAACAGGGATTGCTAGTTCATTGGTTAGTCAGCTTGGGAATAGGGATGTTGATGTGGCCACTGAAGCTGCCATTGCATTGGCGAAATTTGCTTGCCCTGATAACCACAATTGTGTTGCGCACTCAAAAACAATAATTGAGTTTAATGGAGTTCCTCTATTGATGAAATTGTCGGCTGTTAGTGATCGCTCTAGGAAGCATGGACTTGTTTTGCTCTGCTACTTGTCCATGCATGTTGGCAATAGCAAGGAACTTGCAGAGGCTAGAGCTTTGAAAACGCTTGAGAACGCATCTGCGATGGCTCAAAATGCTGAATTAAAAGAGTTATTTTCCCGAGCTGTACATCATCTCATGTTGTATCAAGATGGGAGTCATCCTCACCACCATTCATTTGCGGTGGTATGATCATTGAAGGGCTAATGATTGACTCCTGAGTGCTTGTCATTGTTGGATTGAAGCCCTGACTTGTACATTGTATTTGTCAGAAACAAGAGGGTAGATTAATGTAGTATAAATTCTGCATGCTTAATCTTGTATGGCAACTTGTAGTGAGTTTGCAGTTTTGTCCTCAAAGGGTTGAAGCTTAATGCAGTTCTGCCTTTGACTTCAGAGATGTAAATGATTTTTTTTCATTGTTAATAATACTATATTTACTTTTAACACGAGTTATTTAAATTTTCAATCCTCTCATTGATCCTCTCCATTCAACTTTCAGTATTTTTTATTGTACACATTTTGCAAGGAACCTGTCGGAGGAAAACTAGCTTGCAATAATGTTTTCCCTTGATAAACTATATTTTATGGAAAATCATCTTTCATTGAACATGTTTTCTGTAAATCAAACGGAGCCTTTATGTTATTTCAAGTTCGTGTTACTTGCATGCTTTGACGTGTGCAGCATGCTATAATAATCTTGTGAGTTGTTATTTGATCACCTCGCTGTGTGTGTTTCTGTTCCTGGCTATCTACTATCCTATTTAATGGACAAATATTTGACATTGCTGTCCAACCCAATTGAAATTGGGAACTTGGAAGGTAGGGAAGATAGGCTTTTCTAGTAGTCTTTGAGCAGGAACTTTGTAGAGCATCGTCAAGCATTTTGACACTTGCTATTTCCGTTGTCTGACTGACATAAAATATTCTCTTGCTAGACTCTTGGTAGGCTGTCTAGACGAAGTTGAAGGAACCAGGAATGAGTTCATCTGCGAAGTTTTCCCCACCCTTCATGTCCTTGTGCATTCTTTTTTCATTATTGAGGGATTGGCAATGTTGCAGTCGATTCTGGACCCCTGTTTTCAGTTAGATTGGAAGTTATCTGTGACCAATCACGGAGTATTGGAATTGCTCTGAGCTTGATTTATTTTTTATTTTGTTTTTATGTTATCTTTGCCATGTTCATTGTTTTCTTTCACTTTTAAATTATAGAACTCATTGCAAAAGCTTTACACAATTTGGGAAAAGCTGATTGCAAAGTTGCTTCTTATCTGCGCTACATGATACTGACAGCAATATATATGCATGCAGACAAAGCAGTGAGTTCAATTGATGCTTAATTGTTAGGTAAAGAGTCTAAAGATCATTTGTAAGGATATCCTTAGTCTTTTGGTTACTTGTATCACCTTAGAGTGAATATCTGCTGCTTATGAATGATTGACTGTCCTGTACATTGTGTGTGTTTCACTGTTTTATTTATTGCATGATTTATTTCCTTGCTTCTATATCTAATAATAAAATGTCAGCCCGTCATATAATTGCTTCCCTGTGCGAAAGCACCGTCATTGGTCATAATTGTTCTGTACAGTTTTTAAAGTACTAGGTTTGTAATATCCTCATTTCTCTGTCTCTCATCAGTATCTACCCTGCAAGAAACTCTATCACTTGTCTTTTCATGCAGGCTTGGACCCAACATTGAATGATGATACCTGCGATCTTCCAAGGCCGTTGTGCTCAAAGTTTATGAGGTTTGCTTTGGTTCCTACTCTTTATCGTGCTTTTTATATCCTTAGATCTAAGATTTGGTGTTGAATGAAGGAGGCTGCGTTTCATCTTCAGCTTGCCACCTTAAATACATGAATATCTAGGCCAGTTTTGAATCTATGGCCATTTATGTTCATAATAAGGAGAATGGCTTGTCCATTCTTGAAATACAGCTCAATTGTAAGGAGTTGGACTATTCAACTAGTATTTAATTGTAGATATAAAATGACTGACAGTTTAATAAGACATTTTATTTAACTTTTGTAATCCTTAGTTAAAATTTGCTTATGAATCTTGTTCAGCTTTGTTGGGTATGAATAGAAGCAACCTTCACCAATAGGAATAATTCAGAGGATTTGGCATTGGATCTAAATGATGATCTTTTTGAAAAGATACGTATCTTCTAATTAATTTTTATAGATGATAGATGATAGATGATGTGTCCTTTTACCCAATTGAGCAAGAAATGAGTTTGCATGAGGCTGACGTTTACAAACCTTAATTTTTAATTACACTTTCAAATTAAAAACAGGCTTTTAGAGTTTGCATTGTACTTTAGTTTTTATTGATTACAATTTTAATATACTCCATGTCTTGAATTTTTTTTTCCTAGTTACATACTCCGTTTTTAGGTTTATTTATAAAGTTATATGAAGTATGAGGTAAAAAATATAAACTTTGGCATAGTTGTCTTAAAGCTTCTTTGCATTGGCTGTGTTTTTTTTTTATATGTTGTTTGGTGCTACTTATTTCTTGGCACAAGGAACTTTCTGCTAATCCCAATTAAAGGACTATTAATGCTTGATGTTTAGGGATTTGCGATAAAAGCAGTGGGAGGAGAAGTTTCTTGGTGAGATGCATCAATTCTTTATTTTTTGAAACGGAAAGGCAGGGGCCTTGCATCCCCTTTGTTTTAAGGTAATCCGTGACAGAGTTGTTTTTGGCTATCTTCCGTTATTAAAACCATATGAGAGTTGCATTCTGAAGATGAAATCGATTAATGTCCCCTTCAATTTTTCATCCTATTTGGAATGCTGATGCTGGATGCTTTCTTGTTAGTTATACTTTGGTTTGCACTTCAGATGTGCATTAAACATCCAACTTGTTAATTTAGGGGTGGTTGTTGAGGACTTGAGGGTGCCTTTGGCTGGAAGCTACTCTGGGAAGTGGTGACAACTGTTAGCTAGACAATAATATCTTAACTGCTGCTGGGTTATAGTGTAACATTGTCTCATCCATTTCATTCCTATTGTGCAGAGTAAGATGGTAATTATTCCTTTTCCATGTCAGCTTCGGATGGTAATTTTGCTGAAATTTGCAGCTAATGCATGGCTAGTCGTATTCGTGCTTAGAACTTTATATTGTTTTCCCCAGATAATTGAATGTTACTCCCTTGCTTATCTAAACTGGTCGAGAAACTAGTTGAGAGCTTTCATTTTCACTTGAGTAATAGACTTTGTAATTTTGTGATTGTAATTTTAACAGACCGACAGGCCAGAGCATGTTACAATGACATATAAGCTGCAAGAGATCTGTAATTAAGCTGTAAATGAATTCTGAAGCAGGGTATAGTAAACATCCAAATGGCATGATATCTTTTATAAACATGCTGCATTATCTCGTACGATGTACATGGTAAGCTCGGCCTCTTTCACCCTAGGTAACTCACTGCATCAGTTAGGTCCGGCTCTTGTCTTTGGCGTTCCGCCATAACTCCATTGCTAACCAACTTTTGAAACATTACTGGTACAGAAAAACTATTGCATTTTGGGACTAAGGCTTTGTTGTTGTTGTACAGAAAATCTGTTGCTGCCTAACTAACAGGGATATAAAACGAGTCAATAGAACGCAATCAATCATTCAGTGGTACGTAGCCTTTAAAATAGTTATTATTACATGCTATATTTGCTCGTCATTTTTAAATTTTGTACTCCATATTTTCTTGGGATCTTTTCCAAAGCCAGGCCAAATTCATAGCATCTTCTTTTTCTTTTTTTCCTTAAGTATCATAATGATGCTCTATGTATATTTGCTAGAAAAATGGTCCAGCAACTAGTAGAAAAGGCGGTACTAGGTTGGTGGGAGAGAGGGTAGTCCAAGCTAGGTGCTACTTGGAAGGTATCCATCAGCATATTTCATGGTAGACCCATGTAGTTAGTTTTGGTGAACGGTGAATGTGACTTGAAGAACTGTTTGGCTTTATTATTATTTCAAGGTATTTATATGGCAGTAACCTGAAGTTGAAACTTACTGCTCCATTTCAACTTCATTGGCAGAATCATGTGGTTAAGCTCTGTAAGGAAAGTTACAGTGCCTTTGTGTGGGGATAACTGAAAAGTGACCTCTGCTGTGTTTTCCTTATGGAGGCTGTGTCATACTGTCATACAGATTGACAATTTAGTACAAGTAATTTATTTAAAAAAAAAAAATTCTGTCCGTATTTATTTGTTTTAATTAGGATAATCCAATAGAAATTATGAATATGGAGTGTTGAAATTATTGTTATGAGTACGAATATACGATACTCGTACTTCTTACGTTTTTAAATATCTTCACATTTTTCAATTTGGGAATTCCCCTGCAACCCTAACGATGCCACATGAAGAAATTTTGGAAACGGAGGGAGTATTCAGTATATGGAGTATCCACGTCGAATCAACTAGAAATATAGAGATAACGCAGTCTTGACTATATGTTTGTGCGTAGGACAATTTGACACCCAATACAAGGACTAATAAAGGGATTAATAATTGTGTTCATAAACAGTTTTTTTGAAGACTTCAATAAGAAGTTGGCATCTTCAAGACTTCAACCACACACTCGTGCTGTTGTTTTCTGAATAAATACTAAGGGGCAAAAGAATTAAGGTCGTCTAGTTGTTCATGATTGCAAGGAGCTCCATAGAATGGACCTTTGTAATAATTTGTAGTACTATGGGATTGAGACGCATCTCTTTGGTCCTCCATGTGCGTATCTCACCTCAAACCATTGATTTGACTGTCTTTACACGAGCCTGAACTTTATCCGAATGTAAGTTGGATGGATTGGATTAGATATTGTCAAGTTTAAATACAGTTCGAAATATTTAGACTCGGAAATTTTAGTTCTTACACAATCAAAGCATGTTATTTTACATTAAAGCAAGTTTATTCATTTCTTTCATATATATATATATATATATATCTAAACTAATTATATCCCGATAAACCTCTTACATTTTACTTGATTTTACTCTACTATATGAAAAAGTTATTTTCATTAAATCATTTATGCTTTTATATAGTCGATGTGAGCTATTTAAGAGGTTTGCTCAAATTTTGTGGTTTTGATGAATTTTCTTAAAAAAGCCGGTTTGATTATCATTATCAATTTTCAATTCTAAGTTAAACATTACGAATATTCATTATATTGTGAGCCCGTCAATGCGTGTTCGAATCTTCTGCGCATTAAATTTATTGCCCCTTCTAATTTTCCTAATCTATATACATGTCTAATCTAATATATATATATACATAAAGTAGGCATTTTTGGAGAGCATTTGGCGCGCCACGTAAGAAATATTCTTATTTCGACCAATTAAAAGTTAGATTTGTATTTTATTTTAGAATTAAAAAATTCACTCGCCACATAAGCAAAAGTGACGAATGAAATTTAAAATTTTTGCCACGTAGGTAAAAATGACGAATAATGATTTATTAAGATTTAAATTATCCTTTCAAAAAAAAAAGATTTAAATAATTTTAAAACTAAAAATTATCTTTTTTTAATAGATGATCTTTTGACATTAGGATTTAATTTTTAAAAAAACTATAAATTATACAATTATTATATACAAACACTTTAAAATTAAATATTTGAAAAAGGAAAATATATGTTTTAAGAAAACGTTCAATCAATTTATTTTTTTTAAAAATATAAATTATTAATAGTTAACTAATATTCTTCAATTTTTTTAAAAAAAAATCAATATTCTTAAAAAAAAAAAAAACAATAACGTTAAGTCTTTATCAATATTATTAAAAAAAAAAAACAATAATGTTCAATTTTTATCTTACTTAGCAACCCATTATGATATTATAGATTTGTATACATCCTCTCAAAAATATATATTTTTTTCAATTGTAAATAGACAATATATTATATACTATACAAAAAACACAAACATGTGAATATTATTTATCTACACTTCTTCATGGTGTGAATTTTTTTCAGGTCTAATTCGTTGATTAACAAAAATATTGGAAATAATGTAAGTATATCAAGGCCTTCTAATGGTAAACAAAATAAATTGATTGTTATTCATTATTTTATAAGATGTATGTTTTGTTTTATTGTACCTAATCTAATTATGTTACTTATCGTATTAAATTTTGTTAAACAACTTAATTGTAACTTAATACTAATTATTCTATATTTGAAGGGATTATGTCCATGCGCCAATTGAAAGAAATTTCTTCAAGCACTTATAAATCCAAAAGAGAAATGTGTGGATTGGAAAAGTAAGGGCCTGTTCTCTTCAACTTATTTTCAGTTCAGTTCCTAATTTCCTTCTCTCATAAAATATTCAGTTTAGTTCAGCTTCAATTAGTTCAGTTCAGCTTAGTTCAGTAAATCAGAGCAGGCCCTAAGTCAACTATAATGTTACAATAGTAGGGAAAAAAAATTAAAGATTGTAAGAGATGTCTCTGATAATTTTGATTTTTTTATGTATTATAGTTCTGGTGGAATATCTATATTATTGTTGTAAAAATCATTGTAATAGTGTATACATATAACTTTATTATTAAGGACATATGATAATGAAACTTCATTATAAAGATTTAATTTTATTTAATTAGATTAATTTTAATAATGCAACACTCTTGGTATAAATATTTCATTTAACTATTTAAAAATTTATAAAGTCATATCTTTTACTAGTACTCCCACCGTCTTTATTTTAACCTTGTAGTTTTGGGTTTACTTTATTAATTTTTCATTGTATAAAGTTGATACGGAGTAAAAGAATAATGGTGGTCTAAGTTATTGTTTGTGAAAGAAAAATAGTGATTCTATAACTATATATGTATAGTGGAACAACGTGTTTTCGTTATACAAACGAATCATAGGTTAAAAAAATACGAATAGGATTAAGATTTTATTCTAATATTTACCATACTTATAATTTTCATATAACTAATATTAAGTAAATTAAGGTCGCATTATAAGTCGCATAAAAATAAAACAAATTATTCGTTTTCAAACAAGGAAAATAATAAAAAAATTATAGGGTTAATTTAAGAAAATAATCTTTTCATGAGATTTATGTATAAAATATTGTGCATCGCACGGGCTTCTATCTAGTTAATTGCATAGGAGGTATTATGACTCAATTATTAAGAGACTTAATGATATTGTCCTCGGCTTATTATTCTTGTGGTGTAAATGAAGTTACATATACAAGTTTCATTGTAAAGTCCAGCAATTATTGCTCGTTGCTCCAATGAAGCAAGCTAGTGGGTACACAACCCAACCTGGCGTTATATTTTATACTTAAATCCTTGTAAAGAAGAATGTATTCTTAATTACTTTTCGAGTGGGGTGCCGATGAGTATGACTTTGAAATTATTATAATAATATACATACTTTCTCCGTTTTTAAATACTGTAATGTTATTACGAGTACTTTTTGCATAATTTTCATATGAAAACAAGAATGGGTAGAAAATAAGAATCAGATGATAAAGTATAATTCAAAAAACATGAACCTTTAGGATGTAAACTTCTAGTTTTTAAAAAATTATGCTAATCTTCATGTAGAATGTTAGAAAAAGATGTACTTGTGAGTGAATGTGGACTGTGACAATCAATGTGAAGAGAAGTATTGAATAATCGACACGTAATCTGAAACTAATTTTTCCACTTTGTAAATGAAAATAAATGATGAATATATAAGTCAAGTGGACTATTTTACGTAGTATTAATTATTGATTTTATGAATGAAATCGTGTCTAATTTAGGTACATTCTGATTTTTTTTCTCAGATTTTCAGGTGATCAAATTGTTCATACTCAATAATCACAAAATTAAGTACTCCCAAATAATATCGCACGTAAAATTTTAAATGTTCAACTAATTTAGAACAATTTAAATAATATCCATGAAAAAAGGACAGCAATAAATAAGGATTAATTTATCAAGCACACCAAAAGTAAAAGCCAAGCCAGATCAAAAACTATAACAGGTCAGCGGGACAAAAAATCAAACTTTAATTTAGCTAGGCACCTATACCACTCTATATTCACTTTTGTACACCCAATTTCAAGCAACGGATTAAAGTTCTTAAAAAAAAACAGTTTCTATCCCATTTACATCAACTGTATATACAGAATTACACAATCAATTCAATTTCACTTTTAGGGTTGATTTTATTTATCAACCCTATGACATAACCCCTCTATATTCCCCACTCCGCCTACACCGGGATTAGGCGAAGGTGATTTTTTAGAAGGTTTTGATTGCTCATTATCTTTTTGAAGTTGTCATTTGACTTTTACATTACCTTAATTATAAATCATTATTATCATTACGAGTCTTAAAAAAAATGTCTCATTTATTATGCACATAAACAAGTTGTGATTACTAATAATAGTGTAAATGAGAAACAAAACTATGTCAATTAATATCAAAAATAACATTCACCGACCTTAAAGATTATTAGAACTGAATAATAATCAATAATAAATGAGAAAATAGAGCTACTTTCTATATCTATTTAATAATATGTTAAATAAATTATATGCTTTAAGAAGAAAAGAAGTGAAAGTACATGAGTACTAGATATTTCAAAATCACCAATTCCTCAACAGTTAATTAATGGGAGACATAGACATATATATGGACCACAAGATGGCTTGTTAAGTTGTTACACTCAATTTAAGACTTGTTAAGTTGTTACACATTTTTTGGGAGGCAAAGAATTATATTTAAATGGACCACAAAATTATTTTCACTCAATTTATCACTTTTTACATTAGATAAAAATCATAAAAAACACTGTTATATTCACCATATTCCCACTGAAAAGAATGCAGAAATAAATCAATCAATCACAATAATACCTTGACTACCACTAATTAAAAATGTCAAAATCCAAAAAATTAAAAATGACCCATCAAACTGACAAAGAAATAAAGAAAGAATAACAAAATGATTAACCACACAAAAATAAAAAATCATCACAATTTTTTTTTCATCCCTAATTTTTCTATGAGTACTGTATATTCTACAAGTGGTATACTTGTTGCACACCAACTGATGCTCTATTTACCTATGCTGCCAAGCCAAGTATAGGTAGCGTGAGGTTCCATCCCAAAACCAATTGGTCGGAATTAATAAGAGGTTAAGACTCATTTAGTTTGACATGGGATCATGCTTTTTTTTTTTTTCTAATTTTGCGTGTGCCCATATAGTCCCCGTCGAACTGAAATGGGCAGCCCAAGCGCATAACCGGAAAGGCTGATCAAGTGTAACAGAATGACATGACAAACGAAATGATCATTAGTAGCAGCAGTAAGTTAATTAGGTTCACTTTCATGAAATCTGCTGTAAGAAATAATCAAGGTTTCCTGCAGCTGTTGTCACTAAATCTTCAGGCATCGAAAGCGACTTCAGTGGATCTTCCTCCCATGGACTTGTTTGATCATGACTAACTGTTTCCATTTTTATCAACCCACCAAAATTAACAGGAAACTGGAAAATTTGTGACTGATCAAACTTGTTCTGCTGATCATTAGTACTGTTTTCCCATGAAAATCTAGCACTGTTATCAGAATTAGTCATGATATTATTGTTATTATTTGAACTGCTACTAGAACACTCTTTTCCTTCATTGAATATAACAGATTCCGACCCCAAATTCTCCGTCTCCAAATTTTCATTGAAGCAGCTCTGCTGCAGCATATACTGCTGCTGTGACTGCGACTGCGACTGTGACTGCAACTGCGACTCTATCATCGGCCTCAGGAGACTCAGGTAGCTCTGAGACGACGAACCAAGAAAAGCTGCAGGTTGTAATAAACTGAATTGGGAGTTTAATGAAGATGAGAATGAACTACTGATAACTGTCGCGCTTGTGTTTGTTACTTCTGCAGTGTTGCAGAAAGGGTAGGATTGTTCCATCTTGACAGCTCGCGCTATTTTCTGGTTTTCAGCTGTGTTTCTGAAGCCGTTGCTGCTGCTGCTAATGTTGTTACTGGATTGCATTTGAGTCGAAAGAGGCTCGTGTGTTTGTGGGTCGATCCCTTGCTTCATTAGCTTCTTCTTTAGACATGAGTTCCAAAAGTTTTTGATCTCATTATCTGTTCTTCCAGGCAATTGTGATGCTATTTGAGCCCACCTGTACAATTTCATAATTTCATCAACAATAATTCTACAATTTAGTTTGATGGTATAAATTTGAGTTTCTTTTACTATTCAATGACTAGAATCAATGAATACACATTTCTTTCTCTTTTTTTTTGTGATGATAATAATCATGATCCTCAATAATTCCAAACTCAATAATCTATCGCAAGTAGCAACTTTTAAAATCATTACATACTCTCTTCCCGTTGTTCAAATTAGTTGTCACATTGATAGTGTATGTAATTAAACTAGAGTAATGTGACAATTATATTGAACTCGTAAGGAAGAAGTATGTATGTAGTTTATTTAGGTGCCAAAATGTACCTTCTTTCTCCGAAGTAGTTTAAATTACATACATTGTTTACACGACAATTCAGTACGGACTAAAGGAGTAATATTCTTATTATACCTTTTAAAGAAAGAAGAGAAATTAATAGATAAATTTCATGAAAAAATAAGAAGAAAAAAAAAAATACCTATTTCCTAGAATTTGATGAAGGTTAACAATAAGATCTTCTTCTTCTTGTGAAAACATTCCTCGCTTAAGATCTGGTCTCAAATAATTAATCCATCTCAACCTACAACTCTTTCCACACCTTTGTAAACCTGGAAAAATTACATTATAAAATAAATTTGATATACAAGTTTATGTTATAATCCAAAAAAAACCCTCAATATTTTCAAAAGGAAACCAACTCAACCAAAAGCTAAAACTGATGGTTGAAATCCAAGATCAATTTATATACTCTATCAGAAAAAATTAGAAGGAAAAAAAAAAGAGGAGGGATGGAAGGCGGAGTAGGGTACCAGCAAGCTTAGGGACAGAACTCCAGCAACCGACGCCGAAACGAGTAATGTGATTGTAAAGCTTCTCATCTTCTTCAGGAGACCATAACCCTTTCTTCAACTTTTGTTTTGCACAACAAGAATGGCGCCCCATACTTTGTGTGTGTGTTTTTTTTTCTTTTTTTTTTTTTGTTTTTTTTTGTTTGGGTGTTTAATATATAATTTGTGTGAGTAATAATAGGATATAATTAATAGAAATGCTTGGTTTTTTAAGAGTAAAAATGTTTGATGAAAGAGGAAGTTATTATAGAGATAGTGATAAGCTAGCTGCTGCTCGTACAGTAGTGAGTTAGCAAGAGATCAAACTCATATATAGTACTTCTATATTTATCATCAATCACTATTAATAGAAAGTAAATATTATTACTTTATTATTATTCTTTCTAATTAATATTTCTTTTAAAATAAAAATTAAAAATTAATCATACTTAGAATTCAAGTTAAGGGTAAGAGAGAGAGAGAGAGATGTGATGCAATCAAGTGGTTTTTACGCAAGTAATGCTCTGCTTTTTTTTAATTTTATTGAAATTATGGATTGAAATTTAAGAAATCTTATTTATTTTCTTGTTAATTAATTAAATAAATAGAGAGAGATAATATTAATAGTAAAAAAGGTATAATTGAAACTGAGAAGAAGGGTGTAAACGTGTTAAGTAAAATAATTAGCTTAGGAGTAGGAATACAGTGATCGTTTAGACATCTCACGTAGCTGTGGTATGGTCCACAATATGATGCTAATATGTTTGAAGATGTGATATTAGTTTAGTTTCATACTTTGTATCTATTCATTTATAATTTTCGATTGTAATACCTACTAGTAATTATGTATGGATTAATATAATTGAGTGTTTTTAAAGAATGGAGTTTTAAAAATTGTATGATGTTTAGTCGTTTTGATTATAAAAATCAGTCTTTTATTTGAATAGAACAAATTTACAAAACCTTCCTTGACGTGAATAAAAGACACGTGATACGGAGTATATAAGAGAACAATTTTATATAGTATTCTCATCAACTTATATGTTTATTTTTCTTGGCCTAATTAACCTATTGAAATTGGGTGATCAGAAGCAATAATGTAATTTCATATGAATTTACACTAACTATATGCCTAATCTATGTAGACATGACCTAATCCAACCCGAAATTTTTTGAGCGGACTTTCATGTTATTCGCTCGACCTAGCCTATGAGGAAAATTTTCAGGTTTTGTAATATTAGTTAGGCCTGAAAATTTGAAAATAATGAAAGTGTACTTCATGATTAGAAATTAATTTCTAATACTTCGCAAATTATTTACTTCTATTATTTTTTTCGATATATTTCTCTTGCTAAAATAATTTGTTTAATAAAATTAATATACTTCATTAATTAATCTAGCTAATCTAGTTTGTAACGAAACCATGATTAGTTCATGACATTTGAGAACATTATAAAATATTTATTCAAAAAAGAACATTATTAAATGTTGTGCCTCTTTTTTGTGATGTGTTATTATAGAATAAAAAAATAATGATACTTAACAAGCTAGATACAAACCTTCATAGTAGCTGCATATAAACATTAAATATATATTTAAGATTAATACAGAATACTAATTTAAAAACTTATAACAAAATTACATGTTTAGCGGTTAGTGTTCACATTTACCAATTTGGCTTTCACTAAAACTCGATGATCACATGAATTTCCGTTGTGAGATCGGTATAATTAATACTTATTGGTATATGATTTAGCTTAACATACCTATATTTGACTCTTTATAGGCAACTCCTTGGTTGTAATACATATCACTTTATTAAATAAAAATTTAAAACTTTTTATTGTAGGCACGAAACTTATTGAATTATAGAGTTCGATTAGTCGATTGTGTGGTTAATAAAAGACCCATAATTAAAATGAACAATACTGTATATTATTATAATGTAGTCTTTATGCTATGTTTGTTGATCAGGGTTTAAAACTTTCATTTGAATTATTCCGCATACAATATTTGATTCATATCTGTATGGACCCTACTACTCTTATACTTAGTGTCGGCTGATTCTTGTAATATGCTTTGTATTTGACTCCAATTTTTTAATTTTCTACTTTTTTTATAAAAAAAATTAATTCCTTGAATTATACATATACGTACATGCATTTCGTTAACATTTCTTGCTGTCAAGCTAATCATTATAAAGACGTCTTTTTTTAGGGTTAATGGCTTAATGTCAGCTAATTAACATCAATCTTTACTAATAATCATTGCCAAAGTTTAATTAATCACCTTATTAGTGCAAGTTTGAGTGATCCATAGAAACCGACAAGACATTATTGCTGAATTAATTAGATATTCATAATCTTGATTAGAGGGGTAGGGATTGCTAATTATTACGAGTAAATTTACTGTACAATTAATTACATAGAATACACCGGTTGTATACATGACCTACTGTGTAATAATGTAAGTTGCGATTAAATAGCCAGCAATTTGGGTCTTAAGTAATCAATCCCATTTATACTCTACTTAAAAACAGTAGTCAATTAGTTTTCTGTTGAGGTGGACCAGGACAAGTGTATGTTTTAAGATGTTTATTATCTCTCTTCTTAGCTCTTACTCCTAATTATCACTACTTGTTTGACTACTTGCATTGTCTGTACAGTAATTAGTACTTGCTTACATTTATATGCCTTCTAAAGTACTTCTATCTATCGTTTCATCGATTGTACGTCTCTAAAGGCTAAGAAACAATGGAGAATAGAACAAAATAAATTGTAAGAATCATCCACGAAAGATCAGATTCAATTAATTATTCTCAAAAAATTGGTTGGAAAGACGGGTATTCTGTACATGCAACGTGTAACACATTAGAGAGTACGTATAACTAAGGTTACAACTTTATCATATACCCGGTATCTAGTGTGTGTGTAAGACGTAAATGTTTAATTGTTGTTAGATAGCTAATACGGAGTATGATGAACTGCAATAGTTGTACGTGTTGATGAAAACTATTATATACATAGTGGTCTCAATCAATAATAAATGAACACATTAGAAATCTTGCTAGTTTCATTGACAATAAGATGAAAGCCAAAAATTTTGATTTCGTTCCAACTGAATCTCGTACATGCCCACTTATCATTGGACAATGCAATATCACAAATAATGTGATGATTTTATAATAATTTATGCATTAAACACATCATATCCCTAACGAAAATTTGTATTATCATCCCAAATATTGGCATATTTATTCATTAATTAAAAGTTGAAATATATGAAGGGTATAGCGTATAATAAAAGATTTTAGGCTGTCACAAATGATTCATTTTAAACATTATTATTATTATTATTATTATTATTATTATTATTATTATTATTATTATTATTATTATTATTATTTTTCAATTAAAAACATTATTAAGATGTCACATTAGAGACTTTTCCAAGAGATTTCTTTGCCAATTTGATTGTGACCCTTTGTGACAACATATATACATCATGCATTCATGTATGCAAATGTAGGGTATTCTTCAATATGTTAGAGAGTAGGTATATTTTATATAAACAACTAGCTCAAAACGCGACTTAATTGAGACAGGTGATGGTTCAAGCTCGCTCTTTCCTATATCATCATATGAGTTGAAACTTCATACGTAATTGAATATTGGGAGTCATAAGGAATTAAGGACATACAGTAAATATATAAATTACTTGTATAAATTTAATTTGAAGACCGCGTGTTTAATCCCCTATTGTATGCTAACGAATGATTTTGGACAAAACCTCCAATTAATTGACGGATACGGGCATATGCAGTTTAGGGATAAAAACTCATCATAAATGTACTTTGTGTTTACAATCATAATAGTGTTAGTTACTTACATAATAATAATAATAATAATAATAATAATAATAATAATAATAATAATAATAATAATATTGATACTTAGCTTCTCTCTTAAAGCAAGCAAATACGGATAAATTACGCATACTATCTACTTAACTGTACATTATGAAAAATATACAAAATCATACGAAATGAAATGAATGAGTTATTATCTTTCTTTCTTCCCTTTTTTTTTTTTTTTTTTTTTTTTTGGAAGTACTGCTGGAATTCAATGATTGGAGGTTTGGAGAATAAAAACACCAGAAATATTAGAGACTAGAAAGATCATAATGTTCAAGGTAACCGACAGGTACACGTATGTATGATTGGATGGAACATTAATTGAATGCAAAATGAAGAAAAATATAAGCAAATTAATTATATTTGGATTGAAGATACAAAGCCAGCTAAACCTTTCCAGTTAGGCAGATACATACGATCATACGAATGGACAAATCAAATTATAATTTGTTTTTTATGGCCCCAATCAAAATATTATTTGGTAGTTTTTTTTGGTATTTAACTTAGTTGTAATTGTAATTATAAGTAGTACTGCTTACTCAATGAATAATTAATTAATTATCGTAAAGTTTGCATTTTTGTCACCTCGTTACTACTTGTATTATTTATGTTGTAACGAGTGCAAAAAAATTTACATTATATGAAGTCAACAAAAAAAATAAAATAAAAATTTGGTGGCTCTTTTATAATGTGTTAGCTATGTCTAGTCTACATACAAATAAGAAGAATTTAGTTTTGTACATAGATTTTGAAGAAAATAGACTACAAATTTCAATGGCGGACCCAGGAATTTTCGACTGGTGAGTCACAATTGATAACCAAATATGTAAAAAAAAATTTTTATCAAACAACCAAATAATAGTACTAAAAAATACATCCAAAAACCCAGAAACCATATATCCTCTGTTCTTGTACCCTCTTTCTCTAAAGCAAATCATCAACCAGTTTCAGTGCAATGGAAAATGAACAAAAAACTTAGATTTTTTTTTGGCACGATAGGACCATGCCGAACTCTAACTACAGAGTTTCTGAAATCAGATGAATAGACTGATTAGGATAAGAGATGATATATTGATATCCAATTAAAAAACCCCACTTCCGCTTTCCACTCTCCACAGATATCAGCAAAACACATCCCACCTCATAATACTCCTTCATTCTTTGGTTTTTCACCATTTTTTTGGCTCCAAAATTCCATCTCTTTCACTTTCTCTCTCCTCCTAATAATGGTGTCACTCTCCCTCCTTTCAACACTCCCTTCTCTCTCTTCTCCCGCCATTTCTACTACTTCCTGTATGATTCCCAATTTCTCACATTTTCATTCAATTTTACTCCAAATTATATGATTAACTTAATTTTAGCATAATTTCAGGGTACAATTCGCTGTAGTAGTAACAATTTGGAGGTAGATGATGATCTAGCACCCAGGATTGTTTTTTTTTAAAAAAACTTAGATTTTTTTTTGGGTCCTGATGAGT